CTCAATGCTTTACCATATCAGAGCGATGTCAATGAAGACAGAACCTTTTACCCCTAACTCATGGAATACCTGGAGACAAATGTTGTTGCGTCATTGCTGGTGATAAAGAAGAAAACTGTGAGGAACATCAGTGGTCGGAAGACGACGATGAAGAAGAAGATATTTGCAATTTTCATAAAAAAATTTTAATTTCCACAATCATAAATGCATGGAATATGTTTCAATAAAAACATTAATTGAGAATTCATTTCTTTTTTCATTCAAGTTAATAATATGAATTACATTTCAATTGAAATATAATTTAAGTATTCTCCATAACAATTCTATAACTATACGGGCAGGTAAGTGTTATTAAATAAATTGATACTTAATTAAAAATAGATGAGTGGGTAAAATAATTATTAAATAAGTTTGATATGGAATCTTCTGTAAATCGTAAACACCAGCTCCACAAGTCACATTAATTACATACGTCTTATTTTTCATTTGTTTAGTTTCAAGATTCTGTATCAAAAGTATTTTTTCGTACTGTATTTTATCTTCAATTATATCATCTTTTCCATTTTTTTAGAGGTGTATTCCTCAATAATGATAATAATAAAAATGATATTAGTAATAATAATTATACTTATAATACTTATACTCATAATAGTCGCGTACATCCTACCAAGCTTAGATTTTGAAACAACTGTTAAGATACAAGATATATGAGTTTATAGCTGGGTATCTCAAATACCGAGATGAACTTACTAAGATGACTGGACCATATAGTTTACTTAATACAACCTTCCTAAATGTGGCTTTCCTGTACAGATAGTTATGTCATCATCTTCAACTACTGCTTAGCATTCAAGAGTTCAAAATTTAGCAATATAGTGCCATCTGTTGATCAAAAAAGAGCGTCGTTCTCTTACCAGAATGAAAATTGGACTGATGTACTTCCAACAAATCCTCCAAAAAAGGCCGGGTCTGTGTCCAATCATTTTTTCGATGTCTCTGGCGAAATTGTCGGTCCCGTATATCCAACAGACTCCGGCTGCTTCTACGAATACCACGAAAAGAATGGCTAGGCCGGGACCGTAGATATTCAACATATTAACTAAGTAGACTCCACCCTGTAAGTAGAAAAACAACGACCTAAATAATGATGTTTGTCGAAATTGTCTCATTTTGTTCAACATTCAATACATACAACAATAGAAGAGTCGAGAACAATCTTCAAAGTGTTCGCTCCCACTCTTCATCGACTGTGTCGCACTTGCTAGTTTCTTGATGATTCGTTAACGATTTGTAACGTTCCATTATGAGGTCAATGAGTTTTCGAAATACGGTAGAAAGACCGTATTTCGTTGAGTCGCAGTGGCGGCGATATTTTAAGTGGCATTGCAACCTTTCTTCATCACGCGTGTCGCACCAATTTGTGAGGCCGCTTGAATTTATCTTCTCACGCGATATTTTTGTTTTTGCGATAACTACTGAGATATTAAATTAAATTGTATGGTGTAAGGAGTTATTATACTTAGATAACCAACGTATTTGATTTGATGAGAATCAATATTGCATCCATCTAAGAAGCTTTCTAATCACCACATTTTATGTCACCTTTATTTCAATTTTTAAAATGGGTGTAGCAAGCTATCCTTAAAAGACAAACATATGTCACCGCCGAGAAAATTTCTCATTCGATTAGAAGATTAAATTAACAAAAAACATTAATAGCAAACTGATCAGCAGGACTGTTTCCCGTGACGGTATATATGTCGGTATATTCATTAATATATTAAATACAAAGTATTTAAGAGAATGCGATGTAGATGATTCTGAATAAATAATTTGAGTTGAGTTGCAGAGAGGTGAACTCTGAATGCCAACTGTCCATGTGAATATACAGTACGATGCAAATGTATGGAATAAATTCGATATTTACAAAATGAGCGTCTTTCGGAAGAAATCCAAAACAGGTCAACTTTAATTTTTGACGGCCCATCTAATGATATTCATATGAAAGACGTTTCGTCACCGGTGTTGGCGTGATGACGTAATCGACAATTTTTTTAAATGCAAACAGGGGTCATGTGGCACCTCATTCAAAATGTCTACTAATCATCTATTCAACGGTATAACCATGCCAATATTCATTTGTACAAGATGAACCAAAACATGTTATTTATTGAAGTACAATAAAATTATAATTAATTTTCAAATTGATGACCTTCAGCTATGATGCAATGTGAAAGCCGGGCACTGAATTCATTTGTAACGTTTCCGAGAACTTCGGGGGTTATTTGTGCTAAGTGATTTAAATATTTTTCTAGAAATAATGTCAACCGCTTCAATGATACTTCACTTCAATGACATTGACTAATCTCAAGTAGAGTGTAGGACTTTTATCACCATTTCTTTTTTCTAATCAACAAAAACAATAGAAGACAGTACGATACTTTATTCTCAGTGGCGGTGCATAGCATTATTTGGTTCAACGAATTACTATTATTAGTAATTCCAGTCTGAATACATAATTTCGGTTGACCCTGTATTAATACATATTGAAACCATTATACCGTTGAATTGACGACTAGTAGACCTTTTGAATGGGGTGCCACATGACCCCTGTTTGCATTTAAAAAAATTGTCGATCACGTCATCACGCCAACACTGGTGACGAAACGTCTTTCATATGAATATCATGAGATGGGCCGTCAAAAATTAAAATTGACCTGTTTTTGGATTTCTTCCGAAAGACGCTCCTTTTGTGAATATCGAATTTATTCCATACATTTGCATCGTACTGTATATGTCATATATGACATACATATGACATATGTATGTCATAATAAGTGTAAAACATTTAAGGAGGTGATTCCTCATCGAAAAAAGATAGGATTTTTCACATGAAGAAACTTCATTGAAGCATCCCTTGTTCAGATACAGCCTCTTAAGGGGGTACATAAAATTTGTATAACAATTTTTTTCACAAGCACTAAAAAAGTTAAAATATTGAAATTAACCTGACGTTTTGTACTACCAAAAAGACACTTAGCCAGAAATTTATTTGGTTTACCCCATGGTTGTAAGGGGTGGAAAACGCAACCCCTAAAATTTATTTCCAATGTAACTTTTTGTCTTATTATTTGTTTACCATCTAAAAATTTATTTACGATAGCCTGTTTCATTCTGAACAAAAAATGTCTCCTGAGTTTTTTGCCCAAAATAAATCAGTTCGCAGCAAAAAATTATTTTACGAACAACTACAGAGATACATCGTCATAAATGCGAACTGGATTTATTGTTATTTTGTAGTTAGTACCTGCATTGAACGATTGAAGGGTAATAAACAAAACTAATTTATTAATAACAAAACACACAACATGTACAAATCATAGTAAATGTTCAATATGCCTACCTTCAGACATTACGCATGCGTCCAGACGTCGGCGAATTGAGCCACGTATTCGCTCAAATATTCCTGGAGTTTCTCTGATTACCCTGCACGCATCGATGATGCGGTTTCTTAAGTCATCTACATCGTGAACAGGAGTAAGATAAACCAAATGCTATAAATGGCCCCGAATAGAGAAGTCGAGAGGATTGAGATCCGGGGATCGAGCGGGCCAGTTCTGTGGTCCTCCTCGACCTATCCACTGATTTGCATATGTTTCAGTTAAATGCTGACGTGCTACTTGACTAAAATGGGCGGGAGCCCCATCATGCATAATAAACATATTCCATCTGACGCCCAAAGGAACTTCTTCCAGCAGTACTGGATGCACTTCTCTTAAAAATTGAACGTATGCCTCACCATTTAATCGAGGAGGTAGAAAATGAGGCCCAATTAAATTATTTCCATTAACTCCGAGCCACTCGTTAAGAGAAAACTGTTCTTGATGGTTAGTTTCGACAATAGCGTAAGGGTTTTCATCAGCCCATATGAAGTAATTATGAAAATTAATAATATTATCCCGAGAAAAACTACATTCGTCTGTGAATTCTATCGTCTTCTGAAAGTCACAATTTCTTCTAATCATTTCCAGCATCCAATTGCAAAATTCAAGACGGTTCGGAAAGTCTCGCGGTAACAGTGCCTGTACTTGTTGCAGCTGTTAAGGGTATAAGCTGGGTATATAGCTGGAAAGCAATCTTTCTAGTACTGGTAGTAGGTTCTTCTTCAATCAAATTAAGTACTGCTTCCTCAAGCTGTGGTATTCGTACTTCTCGATGGCGACACAATCCTGCCACATTCTTTTGTCGAATGAACCATATTCTCGTAATCGTTGATGAAGTCGAGCAAATATTCTATGTGAAGGATGCTGCCGTTGAGGATACATTTCCGCATATCTTCTAGAAGTTTCTAACCCACTCCCCTGTGAAAGGCCGTAAACGTAATGCAAATCAGCCATTTCCTCATTTGTGTATGTCATTTGATTAACAAGTGAATTATTAAAGTAACAAATTAAGAACAGAACAACAACACACAATTAGTATTAATTCAATTTCAAAAATTCACAAACTGACAGCTTCATACCAATTTAATTGTCACTATCGCTAATAGCGACCTACTAGATAGATTAGTTTCGTATTTTCGCATTTATGACGTTGTATCTCTGTAGTTGTTCCTAAAATAATTTTTTGTTGCGAAGTGGTTTATTTTGGGCAAAAAACCCAAGAGACATTTTATGTTCAGAATGAAACAGACTATCGGGAATAAATTTTTAAATGGTAAACAAATAATAAGACAAAAAGTTACATAGGAAATGAATTTTAGGGGTTGCGTTTTCCACCCCTTACAACCATGGGGTAAACCAAATAAATTACTGGCCAAGTGTCTTTTTGGTAGTACGAAACGTCAGGTTAATTTCAATATTGTAACTTTTTTAGTGCTTGTGAAAAAAATGTTATACAAATTTTATGTACCCCCTTTAAGGGGCTGTATCTTAACAAGGGATGCTCCAATGAAGTTGATTTATATGAAAGAGTTTCCGAGACTTGTATTTGTGGTAAACAGCATGAAGAAATTTTATTTCTCTTGCATATATGCCTGGCGGATGTAACTCAATGTACATCGTGGTATCAGCCGGGAAAGTAGTTGTTTACTCACATAAGTAGTTGTCGGCAAGGCACATATGTATATCCCAAACAGCAGTACCGCCACGAAAGTTTCCCGATGTCTGCCCAGTACCTTCGGGTACTCATCGCACAGGGCCGTAATCATGGCTTCTAGGCCGCCGAATGTGCTGTCCAGTCCAAGGGTGATCAACATCAGGAAGAAGATGATCGACCAGAAGACTGAGCCACTCATCGTGGCTATAGCTTCTGGATAGACGATGAAGACGAGCCCAGGACCTGAAACAATATTTTTTATAGTGAGAGTAGTGACCAGAAACTGCTCAGTCATGGTTTTGGTCCTTAGAGCTGGATGCCTCCATCTTATTCGATGGATTCGATGAAAGTATCTTGAATATGTAATAAATTGTGGTGGCCATATTACTTGATATCAAAGGAACATTTGACATTGAATTATCTAATTTTTGCGGAAGAAAATTTTTGGCGCTCTACCACTCCATTTTGGTACAAAAAAAAGGATGAGGGAATCTTCCAAAGAAAGGAAGGAAGTAATCAATTTGAAAATAAGTAACTCTATACATGGATGTGTAGATCATGCAAAGAAGTAACTTTCAGACACGAACTGAAAGAAAGTCCTCCTGAAACAGCTACTTTCATATAAAACATTGAATTACACGAAAGAAAATAATTCTTTCGAAACAAATACTTCTGTATGAACACTGAAGCCACCGTGTTCATGTTCACCAGGAGTTGCCCTCTGGGTCAGGTGGTATCTCCCTTTCTGTGGTTCTGTGAACCACATCCTGAAGGGGTTCTGTAATAGTCCCCCAAGAACATTTGACGATGTTCATAGTTGGTGTCAGGGGAAGCAAATGTCTGTAAACTTCAGCAAAACTGTGATAGTCCATTCCACCATGATGAGGAATCAGAATTTTTTGACTGCACTTCCTTTAAATGGTAAATCCATTTTCAGCAAAACTGATGTTATCCAGAATGAAAAACTCACCTGGAACACTCACTTGGAAAAGGTTATACGCAAAGGCAGACAAAGATTTATGAAAAATTTTGAGTTTCGGGCCCAAACAAATCCATTGGATATATGTTATGATTGTCAGACCAATGATCATGTACGGCACAATCACCTGAAGCCGAAAACTTCATTGTCTGACTGTCTCTGCTGCCATTTGCATCACACTGTCAGCGCCATAAAAATCTTTCTGGACCTTCCTCTCCTCCCCATCTTTCTGGAGGGAGAGACTAGATAAGCAACATACAGGATTGAACCCGTGGGTGGGCTACCTATTGGGCTATTTTATTTCAGGTGGTATAATCTAGTTCATATGTACTTTTTTTTGTAACATTTTTCAGCCCTGTCCAAAAATCACGACCAAGGTGTCATTCGATTCGTATTTTCGCCTAGAAAGTTCAAGGAAAGGTCCGAAAACGCGCCGATAAAAATTACAAAAGTTATAAACAATTAAGTGAAACAAATGGGGCTTTAGTTTTTTTCTTAATATCTCGGAAAATTTTCAAAATTTTGGAAATTTGAAAAAAGATTTGAAAAGATCAATGAATTTGCGTAAAAAAAGTCCCGACTCCCGAAACTGTATCTCGATTATTTATAATTTTTACAGAGCCCTGAAAATAGAGCCAAAAGCGGGTAGTCTGNGAAATTGGGATAAACATTTTTTGACTGCGGATTATTGTTTATTGATGTATCCCAACATTACATGAATTTTTTCATTCCTCAATATTTACATTTAATATGTTTAAATAATTTTTTTTGTTTTAATGTCAGAGTGACGAAAGGCGCGCGGAAACCAGACTACCCGCTTGGCATTGGCAGAAACTAACCTCAAACATAAATTAATAATAATATGTTGGATAACAGTTCTGGAAGGATTTGGTTCCCATCGAGTAACGTTCAAATTGGTAGCGAGTTGCCACAAAAGACTTTCCTCGATAGAAAAACCCAACAAATTTTCTCTGCCTGGATTCCAGGTTATACTGATTCTCTGAAATAGAATTCGCAGCAAGCAAAACATATCAGTGGTACACATATCTTTAGGTTTTATCAGACGAACTCTTGAAGACTGAAGCAAATGATTTGAGTGGTCTAAAAAGTCTATTGACGGGTCACTGTTGTCTGAATCATCATATGAAGAGATTTGAACCGGCAGAAGATAGTGCGTGCAGTCTTTGTTCGGAAGATGATGACAAATCAATCCTCGTGGGACTTATTCACTCTGAATCTGACCTAACAGAACCCTTGGAATGAAACAGAAACCTTACCTTCCAAACCTACTTGTTCGATGCTCTTATGCTGTACGTGGGCCATGTAGCCCAAGACGGAGAATATGACGAAGCCTGCTAAGAAACTCGTCAAACAATTAATAGTGCTGGTGAGGATGGCGTCTCTGTAGCAGTTGTTATTGAACTTGTTGTAGCTCGACAGAGCTAGCAGAGTTCCGAAACCTGGACCCAAGGAGAAGAATATTTGGGAGGCGGCATCTATCCAAACCTGGAGAAATGGAAAGACCATTGTCATTTTGAACGCTTAGCATTATTATCAGATGATTCACCTTGGAGTTGTAGAGTTTCTCCCATTCCGGAGTTAAGTAGTACCGGATTCCTTCTGCTGCTCCAGGTAAGGACACTCCACGAGCCAAGAGGATGATAAGGACAACGTAAGGAGCTAGCGCTGTTATCCACACAACCTGCAAACGAATGGAAATTAATATCATTGCACTAAAGCTTTAATTACCACAAATAACTATTTTTTAAATGCTTCGAATTAAAATTTCGTCACGTGACCACCAACGCCCAGCCATATTGGATGTGACGTCATACTGTATTTCGCCAGTCGCTATTCCATTCATGTTGAACTGTCTGCGCCTGGTGGTTCGAAGTTTCTGTTGTTTACTATGATATTTTTGTCCAAATCTGTGGTTTTTACTGTCTTTAGTTAATTTTACACAGGGTTATTTATTATTAAGTGTGTAAATTCGAACAAACAAGGATTTACAAAAGGTCAATCCGATAATCTGCCAGTTGTTGATATGTTTATGGTAGTGAAATGCATTAATGAAGCTGAACATTTTTCTCTTGGTGAAGTACGTGGAGTTAAAATAGACAAGTAAGTACAATTATTATTTGTTGCAAGTTTAATCACTGTGTATAAATTCTATGTACCTCTGTAATAAAAAAATTAATACTCGTATACTTATGTAAAGGGAGATAAAAGTACGTATTATATTTCATACATACAATATGAAGCAATTCCATTGTTTTTGTATACCTCAAGAGATAATTATTTGATAAAAGAACTTAACCTAATGAAATTTGTATGAATAATTTGGGTTATGGTGCAATATTTTTATTGTTTGTGTTCCATTGTCTTTAAAATTGAAAGTCCCTGTTAGATTTACAAATTCAACAACACACAAACAGAGCTGCATCAAGGTTAAACACAAATCATGAAACTATACAAATGAATAATACCAATCTATTAGAAAACATGACCTCATCACATTTTACACAACAGCGTTTCGCTGAAGCTGCTTAAATAAGTAGATTTAAACGGTATCACAGCCTGCGCCATATGCGTGCGCCTGGATTCATACAGTATGACGTCATGACAGTTCGCGCCTTTAAACGCTTGTTTGAATTGGTTTTTCAACGCAAGAAACTTTTTAAATTTTTTATAAACTAGCTATTGATATTTCACTAGTCATAATTTGCAGTAGTTAATAGTTCTTTATTCTCAATTTATTTTCAATAAACTAATAAAAATAAGCGAAAAAAGGGCTGCATTTGCAAAAACTCCCAACGAACTGAATTTTTCAATATAAATTTGATGTCAAAAGTTAGTAGGTAGGTACTATACGTTAACACTCTTATCCAGTTAGACAAAGAATTCGGGTACAAGTGGTTGACCCTTCTCGACTATATTTATGTCCCCGACCATTTTGTCCTGAGCAGCGCTCAGGAATCCAAATTTGCTCGAAACAGACATAACTGGTGATGAATTATGAGTATATGGTTATGACACCTGTTCAGTAGTCATTGCTTGACCAACAACAACACCGTAGTCATGCCTCAGCCACCATATTCACCAGATTTGGCCTCCTGCGACTTTTTTCTGTTCCCAAGATCGAAGAGACCCATGACAGGACGGCGTTTGGCGACGATTGAGAAAATAAAAGCTGAATTACTGAGATAGCTAAAGGACATACCAAAAAGTGCATATCAGGACTGCTTCGAGGATTAGAAAAAACGCTGAGGGGGACTACTTTGAAGGGGACACAATAGAAATTGATGGATAAATAAATATACAGCGTACATAATATGTTATGAAACATTTATTTACGGCCCTCTTTTCATTATAGATCTATTAACTCAAACCCTCTTCACGAAATTCCGCAACAAATGACCCTTCTCGGCATACTCGTATCATTGTAATAAAACTCGTGAACACAATGGGATGTGATTTGGTATAAGTCGTTTTAGAAGCGTATAACATTTCGATTCTGTGCAGAAATTATATGTATAATATCGTCATTTACGCAGAATCGAGAGATCATTGGACAATAAAGAATCCATCCTGGGTATATTCATATATATCGAGGGAGCGTTTGATAAAACAACCTTTCCAACAATTACCCAGCAACTACACTCCAGGAATGTACCCCCGGTAGTAGGAGAATGGATACTCAAGATGCTCTCTAGTAGAGCAATAATAGTCCAGTCATTATAGTAAGTTCACCTCGGAATTCGAGATACCCAGCTGTAAGTCTGTAAATACTTGTATATTGACACCCTAAAAGTTGTCTTTTTTTATACGGTGAACCGTTTTCGAGATAGAGGGCGGAGAGCGCGCGGTCACAGCATCACTTCAGGTCAACCGGTGCCTCCGGTCGAAAACGCGCCATATATAGTTGATGAACTATCGATAAATCAATGATTATAAATATTTGTCAATTTTTATTAACTATTATATTATATTTTATCATTTTATTCATGCATTAAATCTATATCTATTCAATAATACTGATAACCGTTTACTAAAACGTTCATTATTGATGGCGGATTTCTTCTTCATCATGTTGTATGGAGCAGAGAAGATACTTTTTCTATTATTTTTGATGAATACATGAATTATTTACAAAGGCATTACAGTTCCAAAATAATTGTTGTATTTGACGGATATTCAGACTACCTGTTCACATCTTACCTTTCCTGTGCTCCTAACCCCTTTCCACAAAGAAAAATAGACTAACACGAAAACTGCAAAAACACACAAGGCCAAAGACGGCTTGATAGGACCCATTCTATTGAGGCCGTCTGATTTGTACTGTTCCAAAACTTCTCTCCTGCAACAAAGGAGCCGTATAAGATGCAAGATTTAAATCTAAGAATCTAAAAGAAAGATTTTTAGTTCGGTCAAATTAGACTAAAAAATAAGAGTGAAGGTACCTGAATTTACAACAAGCTGAAAATGCGTGTAATTGTTCAAAACATAGTTAAGAATGATATTTTGAAATTCCGAATGATTGCGATGCCGGGAAAAAAAATTATTCGAGGTCAAAGGTCAAAAATCTCGAAAAAAATTGGTTTTTCGCGATTTCAGGAAATCGGTGATTTTTATCAGATAAAAATTGTAAATCATAAAATTCTACACAAAAATGAATCAATACTTTTTTTTCTTAGAGCCACTGTTTCTGAGATACGACGAGTCAGAAAGTTGTAAAAGTTGTAATCGTCATTATATGCTTAAGTATGCCACGTATATACATATCTGCCAGAATTACGGTCGTATCTGATGGCTATGATGATTGCCCGAGAAATATTAAAGCTGCAGAACAACGTCGTCGAACTTTAGCAACATCTTCATCTTCCGATATTCTATTTGATGAACTTTGACAGTTCCTACCAGTTAACAGAAATTTCTTGCAAATACTCGCAACAAATCTCGGTTCATTTCAATGTTGAAGGATAAGTTTATTGGCGAAAATATATTGGTTGAACAGGCTAATAACGATGTCGACGTACTGATTATTGAAACAGCTATAGAGCAATTTAATTTGACAAATACAACTATTGTTGTTGGTGGAGATGTAGACTTACTCGTACTTCTTACTGTTCGAACTCCACCTGAAAAAACTATTTTCTTTCTAAAGCCAGGAAAAGCTCAAAGTCAAACCGGAATAGATTCGTCAAAAAGTTTATCTACTTTTGCGAAGAGTTAAAATCATGTACTATTTTTACACGCAATAACTGGCTGTGATACGACGTCTGCATTTTACAGGAGGGGTAAAGCAACAGTCTTTAAAATGTTTGAAAAACAAGATTTAGTTGAATGTGTTGAAGTTTTCAAAAAAAGTTATTCGAATCAACAAGAAATTATCACCAACGGGATTCAGTTTCTTCTTTCTATGTACAAAGCTCCGAAAAGAACCACCTGCATAGATAAGTATCGATATGCATATTTCGTAAAAAACACTAAAAATAAGAAACAGGTGCAATTAGCTTGTCTTTCTCCAACCTCAGTTGCTGCTCAGTAATATCTTTTCCGGGTATATTACCAAGTTCAAGTGTGGCTTGGTTATCAGCTAGACCCAAAAGACTGGGGTTGTAAGTTGGTCGACAATGCATTAGAACATATTCAGACTTTACTTCCGCCTGTGCCGAAAAAACTGCTGAACACAATTTTTTGCAACTGTAAAAAGGGATGCAGCGCTAAACGTGGTTGTAAAAGAGTTGGACTGTTGTGTTCTCTGGCATTTACACATTGTCAAGGCCAGTCATGTTCTAATGCTGAATCACCAATAGTGGAGGATTCATTTGATACCAACGAGGAAACATGCGATACATCACTCTTGACGCAGTTTATCTACACCCAGGATGAACATCAAGAAGAAAAAGAAGATCAAGAAGAAGAAGAAGACCAAGAAGAAGAACGACAAGAAGAAGTATTTGAAGGTTATGACTCAGATGAATACATTTTTACATTTTTTAATTTCAATGGCTTTTATAATTTCCAACCCTTCCTAATATATTTTATTATGCAAGTTTTGAATTTGACAGAATCACAACAGACATGTGGAATAGGCCTACTGGGGAAACCACGTTAAAAAGAACGCGCTAAGTACACTACCTCATAGGTGGCGTGGAAACGTGTGCATATAATGACGATTACAACTTTTACACTCGTCGTTTCTCAGAAACGGTGGCTCTAAGAAAAAAAGTATTGATACATTTTTTGTAGAGAATTTTATGATCTACAATTTTTATCTGAGGTTATTTTATGATTAAACTTACCGTTTTCCTGAAAATCACGAAAAAAAAATTTTTTTCGAGATTTTTGACCTTTGACCTCGAATAAATTTTTTTCCAGGCATCGCAATCATTCGGAATTTTACAGTCTCATTTTTAACTATGTTTTGAACACTTACATGCGTTTGCAGCTTGTTGTAAATTTAGGTACCTTCACTCTTATTTTTTAGTCTAATTTGACCGCACTAAAAATCTTTCACCTTATTCCAATGTCTGGATTAACCGGATTATTTTACTTTTGTGCTAACTGGAATCTCTGGCGTAAAATAAATTCAAAACAAACACTGCAACATTTTTCTCGACGCACGTTTAACTCAGTGTTTTTCTCTGCAAAATAATTGTTCACGAAGGTGACTACCTCTTCATTTGACCAAAATCTCCGCCCTCCGAGCGCAATTTTCAGATAAAGGAACAAAAGGAAGTCGTTTGGGGCTAGATTTGATGTGTCAGACGGATGGTCAAGCAGTTCAAACCGTAATTCGTGGATTTTCGCCTTGGCAACCGCTTAGGTGTGAGACGGTGCGTTGTTTTGGTGAAACAGAATTTTCTTTTCCAGCAAGTGTGGCCGTTTTTCTGGATGGAGTGTGGCCTTTGAGATATGTGAGTTCTTCGACAAGGTAGACTTCAACCAGAAAGTTTCTAGTAATTCCAACATAAATTCTACGACAGTAGATAATTGGTTATCCCCCTTGAGATGAATCAATTTTCAATTGAAAACAGTTATTAACAAAATGGTTTAGACTTTCACGGCTGAGGTTTTCAGTGTCATTGCTTTTCAAGTTTGAAAGCCGTGGATTTTAGGAGTTTTTCCTGACGTTTCGCTGACGCGAGTGGCTAGCTTCTTTAGAGGTTTAACCATCATGGCTTGCTATCCGATGACTCGGATGGTTAAACTTCTAAAGAAGCTAGCCACTCGTGTCATCGAGTCTTCAGTTTCTCAAGTAATGATGACAAAGATAAGAACTCGTTAATCCTTAGCTCGCACAAGTTTCGACTTCTGAGGGTTGTCGTTCGGTTGTCGTAAAGACAAATAAGTCCATGACTATCCCAAAAAACAGTCGGTATATGCTTCAAAAAGAGTTAGTAGTCCAGTCATTATAGTAAGTTCACCTCGGAATTTGGGATACCCAGCTGTAAGTCTGTAAATACTTGTATATTGATTCCCTGAAAGTTGTCTCAAAACCTACATATGGTAGGGTGTAAGCAACTATTAAATTTCAAGGTCAAAGGTCACAAAAATCAGTTTTTTGCGTTTTTTTGTAAATATCTCATTTCCTATGGGTTTTTTGCTATTTGTATTTATTATCAATATTGTAGAATATAAAATTCTTTACAAATTTTGTTAAAAAAGTTTTTTCATACGGTGAACCGTTTTCGAGATAGAGGGCGGAGAGCACGCGGTCACAGCATCACTTCAGGTCATAAGATATTCTTCAAAATTACTTTCAAATTGTTTGCTGACAGTAATTCTTTGCAAGAGTAACAATGGATCCACGCGTTTTCGACCGAAGGCACCGGTTAACCTAAAGTGATCCTGTGACCGCGCGCTCTCCGTCCTCTATCTCGAAAACGGTTCACCGTATGAAAAATTTTTTTAAACAGAATTTGTTGAAAATTTTGTATTCTACAATATTGATAATGGAAACAAACAGCAAAAAACCCATAGGAAATGAGATATTTACAAAAAAAGCGCAAAAAACCGATTTTTGTGACCATTGACCTTGAAATTTAATAGTTGCGTACACTCTACCATATGTAGGTTTTGAGACAACTTTTAGGGTGTCAATATACAAGTATTTACAGACTTACAGCTGGGTATCTCGAATTCCAAGATTCTTACCTAATTTAAGCTTAAATGACTGGTGTATAGGTGGAATAATGCTATCGAACTTTAACTAAGTTACTCACTCGAAAAACTCCCTGGCTGGACTGGAAGCTGTAATATTCGGTAGAAGTTCTGTGACAGGTCTGCAGTTAGGGGTATTCCATTCATTTCTACAAGACGTCCACGGCAGCTCAGACTGGAATGACGTAATGAGGTAGTACAAGGCCCAGCCTATGATGGTGTTGTAGTACATGCCCATGTAGATGTCGATGAGGCATATTGCGTATCCCACACCTGAAGCAAAAACAATATCCATAAGTCGATTACTGTGACTAGCTTGTTTTCAAGGAACTGTAAACTTAGGTTATTTGCAGGACCCAGGACAGAGATATCAACCTGCCTAGGAACCTATGCGGCTGTATTTCAAGCGAAAATTCACGCTATTTAATTGTGTGCGGAGAGATTAGAAGAATCCAACCTCATATACTAGTCAATAAAAGTATTCTTGGACAGACAGGTCTAAATTGGTAGCAAGTTTCCCAAAACGACTCTCCTCGATAGGAAGACTCAACAGATTGTCTCTGGTCTGGATTCCTGGCCTCGCGGACCTGGAAGACCACTCACCATATAAACTAATCAGCTTCGTTAAGAAGCTGAGTTTATTTGATCGAGTCTGAATAGGTGTAAGCCACAATAAACTCTTGCGGAATGCGGTGGGGGGTCGAATAGACCCACTCACTTTTTGTGGGTGTCAGTATCTTTTTAATTTGCGGAATTATCTTTTAATACAAGTATGACCAAGAATCCAATTCTGGTCCCCATATACAGAATCCAACTCATCTTTGATTTGCTTAGGCGTATTGCCTTCCAAAAACAAATATTTAATGACAGCTCGATACTCGATTCTGACCATTATTGCGATTCATGTACTTGAAAACATTTCTTAGTTCATTATTGATTTGATCAGCTACAGTTTCTATATTATCTCCTGAAATTGATAACAAAGTGTTGTCTGCAAAAAGGTTCATGAAATCACAACCATGGATGGTATCTATATCATTCAGGTATATTAAAAATAATATAGGTCCCAAAACACTCCCCTGAGGTACCCCGAAAATGACATCGCGAGATGATGACACCAAATCCTTTATTTTGGTTACCTGTTTGCGTTGTGATAAATAATCAGTCAGCCATAACAAAACAGTTTCCCTGATACCAATACTTTGCAATTTATTTAGTAATATGTTGCGATCAATTGTCTCAAAAGCTCTTTTAAGATCTAAAAATACGGATATGATATAATGTCCCTTATCTATTGATTCTTTCCATTTTGATATTGTGACTTGTAATGCAGACTCTCATGAATGGTGTTTTCTGAAACCTGACTGATATTTTAGTTAAATTTCATTGTTTTCTAGATATTCAATGAGTTGATTATCATCTGCGAGTTCTAATAGTTTTTCAATACAGGGCAAAGTGTTGATTGGTCTTAATTCCCAGGATTTATTAGTGTTAGGGACTTTCTGAATTGGCACAAGGACACTGGTCTTGAGCTCCTTCGGAAATCTGCCAGTGCTCAAAGATGTATCTATAAATTGCAACAATGCATGTCCTATAACACCAAACGTTTTTTTAATAAGTTTGCAATTGAGTATTTCACTGCTGTATTTCATTTCCACTCCGTTGATCAATTTAGACAGATCTGCCAACTCCAACTCTTTGAATTTATTAAAGGAGTTGTTAATCAATATAACATTGTTCTCATGAAGTGAATCAGATTGATCAATAGTGTTCTTGTACGCTATCAATAAAATAATTGTTAAATGATTCTGTAATATCTAGATTATTTTCATAAATGACTGACTGACCATTTATTTTGAAATAATTACCATCAGTAAACGTATTACTATTAGTTTTCGGACTTACAAGCAGTTTGAGTGTTTTCCACATAATCCTCGGATTTGACGTATTTTGATCAATTTTATCATAATAGTGTTTTTTTTCTTTGAGTTTCAGTAAATTCACACATTTATTTCGAAGAAATTTATAGTGGTTCCTATTTTCTTCTGGTGCAATTGAGTCAACAACTGTCTCACACTGACTTTCGAAGTCTTCATAAAATATATCTACACCAACACAGCTCAACAAAAAGTTACATGATATCAAACTCAAGTTAATCCTGTCCATATTACAATCATTGAGGTTTCTGTATGTTTTTGTGATATTTTGTGCTACATATATATACAGTGTCACCGATAAAGTCCGCATCAAATGGGAAACTTTTTTATTTTTCGTTTTATGTGAAATTTGATTTTGGCAGTAGATTTTGCTTAAGAAATGATGTCAAATGGCGTCTACAAAATAGGTCACGTGATTTCCTTAACCTGTCAAAATACCTGTATATACCTGTAATTTGTCAAATAAGTGATACCTCGATTGGCGCCATTAAGTTAGCGCACCCTGTAAGTGGCGAAGTTCAAAAATAGACCACTCAACGTGTATTTAGCCCTTTTTATCAGATCGGCGAATACGCGCTCATTCGTGTATATCACTTCCATATGGACGATCTATTCCGAGCTGAATGGAAAGTTGATGTCACCTTTCGGAACAGTCGTAAAATAAATCGAATACGGCCGATGCGATGGAGTTTCAGCAAAAACTCGTCACTCTGATGAACTCATTATACCTCACATGTACGTAATTCCAGGATAACAAAGTTTGAATAAATCGAAACTTGAGATTTGCTGAATTCGAATGTTCTGTTGCCTGCGGCTACGCCCGCGTAGAATTTGGTTTGTCACATTGAGTTTCGTGACAGATCCTTATAAACAAATAGTCATAATATTTTTTTACCAACCCAAAACTGCAGGTTTCCAATTTCGTAACTGATGAAATTCAATACGATCTTTAAACCCTTATTTTTCCCCCTTGAAGGTGGAAATTCCTGATTCCCTTTCTCGATGCTTACTTACGCTATACAAAGAACCTACCTGCATATTTCAAGATTCTAGGTTCAGTAGCGTCGGTTAATACAAGAGTGTCTGTCACTTAATAGGTACCCTTCTGGATATTGAATTTAAAAGGGCAAAAAAACTGCTTTTGATAAATTAGCTTCTTGAAAAAAAAATTAATTTGTCAGTAACTTGGATTTATAAAATTTTGCTCATAAAAATAAATATGTATCCTCTGGTTACGTTTTAAAAACTATCCATTTTCTTTATACAACCTATTTGAATCAAAACATTATAATTTGTAGTCATAATTCGTCTGTTGATGTGAATCAGTTTGATATTATCAATATCAACTGAAGCCATTTTCAAGAAGTAGAAAAGTGTGGCTGTACTGAGATACACACTGTAGAAGTTTGATTTTCTGGTCTTGCCAAACCTTCGAGACGGTATGACCCTCATTGACCCATGTTCCATCCAAATAAAAAATAGATTTACCCAGTGTTCTGGCTTTCTTTATTTTTGTTAAATAGTTTCTTATACATTCGTTGAGACCGGCGATTTTGAAAAAAAATTTTTTTCAATTAATATTTTTTTTTTGAAATGTAAAGTACTAAAAGGTCTACCTTGGGACAAAATTTGAAATGTTTATTAAAGTTTCAGGGCATACTACGATATTTTTTCTTAGTCGAAAATCGGGATTTTTTATTAGCGGTTTTTTTATTGAAAAAATCACTACGCCACTGGATTCAGNATTGTATATTGTAACTGTTAGCTGTGTGAGTTTTCGAATTTTTGAGTTGTCATAACTTTGTTAATAATGAATATTTTTTCATGAAATTTTGGTCACACCTATTTAGAGGCACTCTGAATCCAGTGGCGTAGTGATTTTTTCAATAAAAAATCGCTAATAAAAAATCCCGATATTCGACTAAGAAAAAATATCGTAGTATGCCCTGAAACTTTAATAAACATTTCAAATTTTGTCCCAAGGTATACCTTTCAGTACTTGACATTTAAAAAAAATTATTAAAATCGATTTACAACTTCAAATTTTAGGGGGGTGTTTCCATTAAAAATGGGTCACACTGTATATGGTTATATTTTACGTTTTTAAGGTTAATGACATAGTCGGTACGACTGATGCAAGCATTCCTTTTTATATTAAGTTTTTCTATAAGAAAAATGTTGATTGTTGAATTGAAAAGTGTCAATTAAGGGAAAAGAAGGTGTAAAGGTGACCTAGTGAATAAATGCTTGTGTTTTTAAATAGTTTATTTAGTGAAAAAGAAGGCTGAAAAGTTGCCCTTTTCTGAACTTTGAAGTGCCGTAACTTTGTAAATAAGAAAGAGCGCCACTTTTTTCCGATTTCGGATTCGTAATCTACGCATCAAAATACGTAAGTACACACAATTTTTTTTTCAAAATTGTCGGGTGCCCTCAAAACTAATATTTACCAAATTACGAGAATTACAACGAATGAAACTAAAATTTAATTATGTCACGTGGTTTGGTTAACCAAACCGAGGACATTTTGAATTGGTAATAGGTAAATTTTTAAATCTATTTAAGTTACGGTAAGAAATACTCCTTTCCATACTTGTGAACAGGGCAATTCAGAACTAAAAGTTTTATTTTGTCATTTGATTAGATTAATCCATACTCAAATTGATTATTAAATTACGTTATATCAAGGATATTGAATATTTCATTCTTCCACCTGTTCCAAGATTCTCAACATATACCTCCTCTTTGCTAGTATATGCTTGTGAAATAGCTTCAGGCAAATTTCAATTGAATATCGTTTCATATGCCTGTCGCTTTTTCCACTTTACAGCATCTCAAACTCCAGTTCCCTGAAAACCTGTTAATCACGGAACAGAAACTTCCATCACTCTTCCAAATGTCCAAACAACATCCCCGCAATCTCGTGAAAACTGCCCATTCGCAATGGTAATTCTTTCCATAAATATTAAACCGGTGTCCATCACTATCTGCAAACGAGCCCCTACGTTTATTCGCCGGCACCGTCAAAGATAAACTGCTTAATGAATCGAACATGAGCAGAATTACGGGTTTCAATCGCGGCTAAAAGGTTTCTGTTGTTTGCTGCATCTTCAACTCCACACTCCGACCTCCACCAATCGACTTGCTGATTCCGAGGTTCTTCATTTGAAATTCCGATCGCGGTGTCGATGAGAAATCTGTATTTTAGAGAGGTCATTATTATTCGATAAGTCGATTGCTAAGTGTCGGGAGTTGTTGGAGAGTTGGCGATGAATATATATTTCGTTAATGGAAATTTGGATGCATTTTCTCTCGTGCGTTCATAGGGACAGATAAGGA